TGCCCAACTTCACATGAGCTACAGTCTAAACTCCTAGTATCCCCCTTCATAACCGCTATACTACTCCCCTGTATTAGTATAAACCTCGGTAACACCCCTTTAGGGAGTTTAGACTATAGGTCACATAAAGGTGATGCGGGCAGTTGCCTACAGCACTCCGGCGGCTGACAGGCCACACGCTCCATCCACCATCCAGTCGCCGCTAGATCAAACCCAAAGGAACAGCAACAGTTCTAATTCCACTACAGTAGGGGGGTACAGCGAATATATTATCTTCGGGGATTATGTTCCCTTGGGTTTAGGGTTTAGGGTTTGGCTACCACGACAGAGGGGACGTGGCCAAGCTGGAATGAAATTACCGTGGCCGGCTGCTACAGCTACAGCCCATTTCAGCCAAAGCGCGATTGATCACACTGCGGGCCGTACCACCCTGCTTCACAGATGCATACCTGTGGCTGTCAGGTCATGACACCATTGTATAAGGTTTAGGGTTTAAGGCATACCCTAGGGATCCAAATAGCCCAATGTAGGCAACCTAATACTGGAGAATGAAATGGAAACGCAAATGGAACATGAAATTGAAACTAGGAGTGTATAGGGATGCATAGGGATCCAAATAGGCCAATGACTTTAATGCTTACAGTCTTTAGAGCTCAATATAGGTATTATTTGTATACTTGGATCCTTCGGGATAGGTTGAAGGCGTTGTTGGTGCATCTCGTGCGTGGTCGACTAAAAAGACCCTCAGGGTTACTTGACATGCCCCTCAACCCTAAACCCTTTACCCCCAAAGTTGGGCTACTGGATTGGGATCCGTCGCGGAAGCTCTGAAAATTCCGCTGGCATCTCCTTTAGCCTTTCACGAGCCGCTATCCACAATGTGTTGTAAACTGAAGCAGTTCTAAACCTTCTTAGCCAAAGTACGCCAACTCCCCCGGAAACATCCTTTGTCCCATCCCCAATAATAACCTCTCCACCCCCTGCATAAGAAGTATTCCCGGCATTCTACTTCATGAGGGTGGTTGGGAGGGGTTTACGCACCCTAAACCCTAAACCCTAAACACCTTTTCTAATCTTATAAGGAGGAAAGGGATTCCTTGCGGCATGCATACCGTTGGAATAACAGAATTTCATGTTCTCGCGAGGCTAGAATCTGAATCGCATGTCATAAGTGCATGGAGCTGCTGGGGCTGCAATTCACGAACTTAAGTTAAATCACCAAAAAATGGGTATATGCTAAATACATATATATATATATATAGATTCATCTCGGCATAACCCCAAAACTCTGCAAAGATACACATACATACCACTGCGCCTACAGTCCCCATGAAACTGAAAAACAAAACTCTAAACCCTATAAACACAAACCCCTATGACCGTAAACCCAAAACCATAAGCCTCAAACCTTAAACCCCCAAACCCTAAACCCCAAACCCTAAACCCTAACTCCCTAAACACCTAAATCCCTAAATCCCTGAACCCTACCCCCTCTCATACTAAACCGTAGAATCAAGTTTTTCCCGCCTGGTCTCCCTGTAGGTTCACACCACAGCTGAGTCGGGTGATGGTCGTCTCGGGTAGTACAGGCACCTGAGAAGCCCCCGATATTACTATTACGATTATTGTTTAGGGTTTGGGTTCAGGGTTCAGGGTTTAGGGTTTAGGGTTCAGGGTTTAGGGTTTAGGGTTATTACTGCTAGTATCATGGTTACTTTTATCATCTTTATTGTTACTACTGTATCATTGTTATTCTTACTACTGTTATTACTATCTTATTGTTACTTTTATCAGTATTATTGCTACTATTATTCTTATCTTGGTACTATTATTGCTACTATCATGCTTATCTTTACCACTATTCTTTCTAGATTGCCCGAAGGGCAATTGAAGTTCCCCAGACCATCACAGTTTCATGTTCAAACAAACTTGAAGGATTCCAGCTATTAGAGTGCCCTCAACAAAAGCGGCCCCCGCAATACGCAAAGGTTATAGCACATGGGGGTCTGCATTGAGGTCGCCCTACTAACCCAAAACCCTACAGTAAGGGTTGTGAATGCAAGGGGAGTGTGTGGCTCTCACGTTCAACTTTTGTCTAACGCCAGGACAGATATCCTGAGTGTTCCTCTGGCAAGTAAAGTAGATGGTTAAAGGTACCTCGATCCAAACACCCTGCAGTATAAGCTATGTATTAGGAGGGCCCCCCACCGTGCAATAGTGGTATAATAAGAATATAAGAGGACCCTAATATAATCCCTATTATCCCTTATAGTCACTATTACTGGGTGGGGGATCCACCTAGGCTATGTAACTAAAACTCCTGCAAAATCCCGCCCAAACTGGGACTCGGAGCGCCCACAACAAGACTTAAGAGATCTTAAGAGATATGGTAATTTCCCAAAATTAGGGGTACCTTGTTGGGGGTTCCCTATAATAAGGATTATCATATATTGAGGTCTATATTGGGGTCCCCTAATTTTGCGAAACTACCATATTTTCGCGCAGGGAAATGCCAATCTCGGGCTCTCAAAACCTGTTACGGTGTGCTTGGTGCTAAGCACTGTCGCCCTTTTCAAAACTGATTGGAACATAAGGTCGAAATCCCACATGCTCGTTTCTGATGATTCTCACAAGGTTGGATGGGCTAGCGCAACTGAGGTTGCAGCGTTCGTAATCCGAAGCTCTGCAACTGGCCAGGATAAATTCAGGCCTTCTACGCCCCTCACCTGCGAGGGACACAGGAATTTTGCAAAGTCTGAGGGCTTCAGAAGTGAGAAGAAAGCGTTGCTTTGTAGCGGGTGGCAACATGTCAGGATGCCGCGACTTCAAATGAGATCTGTCACAGGGTTTGCAGATCAATGCAGGACAAGCACAGAGACCGCGATTCTTTGGCGGATCTAACTGCAGCTGCTCACGGAGCAATGTAGTACCCCACGCCTGTTTCCCCCCTAATATACCATAATAAACTATAATATACTGTCATATACTATATTATAACATACCATAACATGCGATAGAAGTTTCCATTTTCTTTTCCATTATCCCCCATATAACCCCAATATAACCCTAATAGTCCCCTATGAGCCGTTGCGGTCACTTTGACATGGAAGGGAAGTCCACCTAAAAACCCGAGGTGCTACAGGAGTATGGACCTGAAAAGCTGGATCCGCATCTCAGGCCGGTTGAGAATATAGGGGACTACTATGGTACCCATTAGGGTAATATTAGGGTTATATTGGGGTTATATTGGGATAATGGAAAAGAAATGGAAACTACTATCGTATATTGGGGTTATATAGGGATAATGGAAAAGAAAATGGAAACTACTATAGTATATTGGGGGTTTATATGGATAATGGAAAAGAAAATGGAAACGATTATATATAATGGGATTATATTGGGTTTATACTTACCAACAGTAAAGGTGATTGGCAAAAGCAAGGATAGCCAGTAGCAGTACTGGCAACAAGGCAAGGAAAGTCGTGCATCGCCTGCTTTTTGCCCTGGCTCTGCCTTCTCCGTCTTTCACATGGGAAGCCGCAGCAAGTTGCTTGGCAACAGCCACGCGCCGGAACTGCTGCAACCACTTCTGTCGTGGCAACTGGGATGCGCATGGGCCTGTGAAGGCGAGATCCTGCCTTCGTATCCGCCTCAAAAGCACCTGCATCGTATGTTGGGGTTATATTGGGGTAGTATTAGGGTTATATTGGGGCTATATCGGGATAATGGAAAAGAAAATGGAAACTACTATAGTATATTGCGGGTTTATATGGATAATGGAAAAGAAAATGGAAACACGGCAATTACCTCATCTAACTGGACAAAGGGGATCTGCCACACGAACTGGGCTTCCAACTCGGCCGCAGGCTCATGAACCGGATGCCTATGTTCGAGTGCACACCCGGGGAAGCCATTCTGACTTTCATACCGAAGGACAGCGTATGATAGTAAAGCCAGCAATGGTAAACTCCTACCCGGGTACTTCTCAAGAGAAACCCGCTGAGCCCAGAGGACTGGGGTAATATTTGGATAATGCAAAGAAAATGGAAACTGCTGTAGTATATTGAGGTAATGTTGGGATAATGGAAAAGAAAATGGAAACTACTATAATGGGATAATGTTGGGATAATGGAAAAGAAAATGGAAACATATTGGGGTAAAGTTGGGATAATGGAAACTGCTGTAGTATATTGGGGTAGTCTTGGGATAATGGAAACGAAAATGGAAACTACTATAGTATATTGCGGTTATATTGGGATAGTGGAAAAGAAAATGGAAACTACTATAGTATATTGGGATACTATTGGGATAGTGAAAAAAATGGAAACTACTATTGAGCCCAATGAATTGCCAACTGAGCCTGTGGCGTCATTGGTCTTTGGCCCACGATGCTGGCCAGCTGTTAACAGTTAACACTTTCATAGGCTTTATTATGAAATCTGCCTCCCTGGTCCCCAATAGCCTGGCATATCCCAGTCATCACAGGCTGAATGCCTCCACTTCTTATTCAGATGCCTGTCAACAGCCCGCATCCGCTCCCTTTTTTTGAATTCGTGCAACCAGATAGGAGTGCTTCGGAGAAGGATCCAAGATTGAGTGAGCCCCTTGATTCTGCAAGTCGGTTTGGTCAATGCGTAGCCTCCATTACCTGGACATACAATCACCATGCTCATCTTGTCGATGCATGCCTGTCATCAGGGCCAACAAACTTGCTGAGGGCATGAACACAGGCGCGGGAGGTTCTGTGATCGTTAGTTGTTGCATCTATTCAGAGGGTACTTCCATTTCCGGGTTCCTCTCATGCCTGCCTCTTCTGTAGTTCTGTCATCATGCTTTATGAGCTTTATGACATCAAAAGATTTGCCTGACTAACCAGCTATGCAGGCTCCTGTCCCGGCACAGACAAAGGCATAGCGGAAAAATAACAGGCCCTAGCCGCCGGTAGAACCAATCACCATGGCATCTACAAACTCAACTGCACAAGTCTGTTGGACGAGCCTCTACCAGCCCAGCCATTCCTGCATGGACGAATGCGTTAGATGTAGGCCTAGGGTACGTCAATGACGGTTTGCTAATCACCAAGTTCAGGTACAGGTCTCGTGGAGCTTTTGGAGAGTGATTTGGAGGTCGAAAGTCATTGGCGCTTTTCATGGTTGTCCTTCAGGCTTGCAGGAATTGACAAGCACAAGGGCATCAGCCGGATCCATGCATTTTCTTGCATACAGTGTCATACACCTAGCACACAGAGGTGTGAACGCGAGCAACTCAAGAACTGCTGCATGTTCAGTGTTTCGATCCTGTCTTAAACTCTACATACAACACACTTGCTCAGGTTTCATAGACGTTCATGTGCCAAAGCTCAAGCTAAGTGGTCTTATCTCCTTCAAACAGCTGGATCCTCATGACCAATCCTCCCTGATGCTTAGTTATGAGGCACCCCGCAAAAATGGTCTGCATGTGTCACACCGGTCTCCTTCGCAAGCCTCAATCGTAGGTCTATGTCTGGGTCGTTGAAGCCCTGAGCCACCAAAGACACGGCTTGGGAGTGAAACTAGCTTTGCAAAGGGTCATCATGGTGAGGCACTCAGACTGACATGATGCACAGGCAGCAATTCGCTCCACATGTGGCCAGGGGCAAATACTGATGCTGAATGCCAGTCATACCGTTGCATGTCTTGTCAAGTGCTCAATGCTGCTACGAACTGGCGTTCACTCAGAAGCGTGGCCATCTTTTTCTGGTGATGCAACGGCCAGCGCATCTAGTCAGCGGAGTAGAATACAAATAGTGTCTTATCGAGGAAGCTGCTCAGCGCCTGCGCTTGCGGCTGCGGCTGCGAACGGACCGGGAGCGCTCCCGATCCCGATCCTCCTTGCGGTCGCGCTCCTTGTCTCGCTCCTTCCGGTCCTTTTTGCGCTCAGTACGGCCTTCTGGCGCACCCCCGCCGCCACCGCCCGACTCTTCCGTCTCTCCATCACCCACTGGCAAGGGCCCACCGACCCAGAATCGCCGGTCTGAGTCACCGAGGCGGAACACACAAAACTCCCTGGTCAGCTTTCTCTTTGGGTCCATGGGCTCGATTGTCTCCATTTTCTTTGTCACTGTTGACGTGTAACGCTTGGGCGCCTTGCCGTCAGCGTCCTTGAGATGAGGATGCAAGGTCATGCTTTCAATGGTCACAGGTCCATTGACGGCCTTGAGGAACCATCGACTTTTCATGTAGTAGATGGCGGCATGCTCTGGTCTGACGCCCTTGTTGCCATCATAGACCAGGCCATCCACATCTTGCGAAGATCCGAAGGTGATAGCGGACATTTCATCTAGTGGAAGTGACCGGCTGGAAGCATTGGGATCTGATTTTGCCTCTTCCAAGTCAAAGCAGTAGAGCATGAAAGAACCCGGTGGTGGAGCCTCACACCGATCTGGAGGCTTCCAAGGCGGCAACATGTCCTTGAATGTCTTCTTCTCGTTGCTGGGTGGCGCCTGTCAGGCTGTCAGGTAAGACGGAGCTACAGCCGCTAAAGCACACTGAGACAAAAACTCTTCCCGGCCTTCTTCTTGAACGGGGATGGCCCCGACATGAAGGCACATTGTGCCAACGGACCGTAGGCCATGGCAGGCTAAAGCCGCCCTGTGCTCCCCGGAACCTGTAACTTGCGGCAAGGACATGTACATTCAGTACAATTGCAAGCCAATTGAAGAAGAGCAAGCAAGCCTCTTCGTGACTACTTCTCATGACCTGCCACCTCCTCCCAGAGAGCCCAATACCCCGTGGTTAAGGAATGTACCCTAAATGATACTAGGAGCATTGACATGATTTAAGGTATATTTAAGGGGTAGGCTCCCCGGGTTGCGTCTGGCCAAACCATGCTGTGACCTTCTGGGCCTGTAGTGGAGGGTACTCACAGGACAGCCCCCGAAAGTCACTCAAGCACTACTCTAAGCACCAGCACAACAGAAACTGTCCGATCCATAGTTAGAAGTCGGGGCTAGGCCCCAACCTACTAGACTATATTGATGTCATGATATCTTCCTATGGTACCACTCTTCGTGGGCGTGGGCCTGACCCTACTGATAAGGCTTGTAATAGTACTAGTCTTTGCCATTGTACTAGATGCTGATTGATATGAGCTATAGTCTAAACTCTCAACATCTCCCCAGTTTTTTCCTAGAGTACTCCCCTATATAATCCCCCATATAACACCCTTTCAGGAATTTAGACTACAGCTCATATGAGGCAGGCCTGGAGAAAAGTCATCCCAAAGATTCCCACCTGGCAGAGGTGCTGGGTCATCATGGGATTTAGGGTTTGGGGATTTAGGGTTTAGGGTTTAGGGTGGATTTAGGGATTAGGGTTCAGGGTTTGGGGTTCCAGAGGGGTTGCCCGAGGATTAGGCGGGGTTGTACAAGAAAATATCTGCCTATATATATATATATACATACATATATATATATATATCTATACAGACAGTCATATACAGTTTAGGGATCTTGCCCCAAAACTGGAGAATCAGCCAAGAAAAGAAAGTGGAACATGAGACGGACGCTGTAGGTTGTCCCTTCCAAGCGCTTGAGGATTAATGGTGTATAGGGCCCCTTGTAGAACGTTATGGAACATCTTCGCATGTTGCACAGACCAGGCACACTTCAGGCTTCCAAGTTCGAAATTCACTTCCTTTCATAAGTGAAGCAGCAAATCGTGCGGTGATGTAGTATAGGCTGTATGGTCCACATGGCATTTCTGCTCAAGTTGATGGACAGAACTGCATCAGGACCTCCCCCAACAATTTATTGCTGGCAACTGCCGCGCTGCGCTTGTGCAGCTCCTGCAAGGAGATGTTTTTTTTGGATTTGTAGTATGATGACAGATGATAGATTCCTTAGCTCTGCCCAACTTGCCTTACTGGGGGTTAGTAGGGAATAAGGAAATACAATCCCCATACAATCCATATGTCATATATTCCTCTATTCTGTACGAACCCCCAGTAAGTCACACAGCTCGGAGATCTGAATCTGACCCTGAAGGTTTGTGAGGCCCCGGCCTTCGGCATCTCTTTGTACCATTCGTCTGGAACCCTTGGTCAGTACGCGGTTCAGGGTATAGGGTTAAGGATTCAGGGTTTAGTTATCTTGGTTTAGGGTTGGGGTTGAGGGTTCAGGATTTAGGGTTTATCACCCCATGCTTGTAAGCACATGAAAAGGACGACCCGAGCATCAACCGTCAGAGTTCTGTAGTCAAGACTGCAGGTCTAGGCTTCTAGTACTCCCCTTCATGACCCCGGTAGTAGTCCCCTATATACTTCCCTATATAACCCTTTTCAGGGATAGCTCATCTAAACCAGTCTAAGCCCTAGCCTGGATACTGAGACTTTCAACTTGGCCGTCCCGGAGGTTGAAGGCGCAAATTGCAGTTACTATTGGGCTATATATTGGGGTTATGATAAGGTTATAGGTATATGTTGATGTTGTAATAGGGTTATATTGGGTTGTAATAGGGTTATAATACGATTATATTCGGGCTGATTTAGGGTTTAGGGTAGATCCTGCACGGCCTTTGCAGGTTCTAGCACCAGAATTCCCAAGATATGAGTCCGCGCGACGGGATGTGGGGCTTTCCCAAACTTAAGGGTTCCTTTTTGGGGGTCCTTATAACAAGAAGTATAGTTTGGGGTCTATATTTGGGGTCTCCCTATATTGGGAACTACCATGTCTAGTATCCGCCGTGCTGGCATCCAAGCGGCAGCCACTTGCTTCCCTTGTCTGCCAGGTGTGCCTTCTCGCCTAAGCAACAACAATATAGGGGCACATAGGGCTTAGTAGGGCTTAGTAGGGCTTAGTAGGGGTAAAGGGGTTTAGGGGTATGTAAGGATCAATAGGGGTTAGGGTTTAGGGGGGGATGTGAGGGTGTTTAGCGGTATATAAGAAGGAGATTGAAGTTTCTCAAGGCTGAATGTGATCGCTGCCAGTAGGTCCTCATTGGTCTTGCTAGATAAATTCCAGGAAGTCTCAGCCCATTGTCTGCCTGGTGCTTCAGGCTACAGGTGCAACCCACGCATCCCAATTTAAGTTCCTTAAATCCCTATATTACACCAGTTTCCATGTCATGTTCCATTTTTCCATTTGATTCTCAATTACAGCGGGATGATATAGTAACCCAGTTGTTGAGCAGAGAACCACGACGGTATTTGGCACTGGGCAGATGGGGGATCCAAGTATATAAATACTACCTACATTGGGCCCCAAAGTCTGTAAATACTACCTACCTTGGGCTATTTGGATCCCTAGGGTATGTACCAATACAGCATGCTTACTGCAAGAGGCCGCATCAATTCCAGACTTCACCATGGAAGACTTATCTCTAGCCACCTGGAAGAGCTTGAGAGGCATGAGCCCTTAAGCACGGTTTGGGGTTTAGGGTTTAGGGTTTAGGGTCCATATCTTTCATGATAACCTGGCTTCTGATTGTCGCTCTCAATACGATAGTACTTTCCATCTTATTTTCCATTATCCCAAGATGACCCCAATATAAGCCCTATATCAGATTTTAGTGATTGATTGAGAACTTTCACCTTGAATTCAATGTTCTTACGGCGAGGCAGGCCAAACCAATCTCCTCATCTAGCCCACGGCATCCAACACCGCAGGGAACCCTCTGCTGAAGCAAGTGGCTCCAGTAAGGGGCATCGATGTTTTCCTTGGCTGCTTGGGGAAATCCGTAGGTAGCACGGCAGGGACAGGGAGCTGACAGCAAGCAGCAATTCTGCCTACAAAGTTGCCGGATGCCCTAACGAGTGCTGCTTGAGCGTCGCCAGCCTCTTCCTTGCATACTCGGAGCAGGCATTGCGCGCAGTGCCAGTCTTCATGCAGCGCCAGGTCCATCATGTAGCCTTGGGTGAAGCAAGTCTTCGGTTTAGACATGCAAGAGTCCCCAACTGGGGTTGTATAAAAACCCTGTATTGAATCCTTCAT